GGCCCACGGGGGGCTCCAGGCCCCCCAGCTGCCCCATGGCGACCCAGCCCCCTGTAGCAGGTGGCCCTGGGAGCAGCGGAAGTCCAGGGCGTTGGCGGCTGTGTCGTCCCCCCGGCCCTGCTGCTCCTCTGTTCGCAGCCGGAAGGCTGTCAGTTGCCCCGTGGGGCAGAACTGGGCCCGACTCCACCTGCCCCATCTGCGGGAGCAGGACCCCCACCGTGAGTCACCCCTTACAGGGCGATGTGGTCCCATCACCCCTTTATGGGATCAATAGAGTCTCATCACCCCATGTGGGGTCAAGGGGAACAATCATGCCATGTGGGGTCATTGGGGTCCCATCAACCCCATATGGAGTCAATGAGGTCCCATCAACCCGTGTGGGGTCATTGGGGTCCCATCATCCTCTTATGGGGACTATGGGGTCCCATCAAACTCTTATGGGGTCAATGGGCAGCAACCACCCTGTGTGGGTCAATGCAGTCCCATCATCCCCATCTGGGATCATTGGGGAACAACCACCCTGTCTGGGGCCAAGGGGGGCACCTTATCAGCCCCTATGGGGACACAGGGGACATCCCCCCCGGTGGCTGCCCCCATCCCCATAGGGGACCCCGGTACCCACACGCCCTGGCTGGAGGTGACAGTCCCTGCCCCGTCGCAGAGCAGCCGGATGGCGTTGAGCCCCGTGTCATCACCGGAGCCCTGGGGATCCTCGACCTGGGGGGTGCCGTGGGGCTGTCAGCCATCTCCCATGTCCTCCCCATGTCCCCCGTGCCCCCCATGTCCTCCCATCCCTCCATCACCCCTAGTCCCCTCGTGTCACCCAGCGTCATTCTGTGTCCCCCATGTCCCCTGCACTCCCCATATGCCCCTGTCGCCCTGATGTCCCCTGATATCTCCATGCACATCCACATCCCCATGTCCCCCCCATCCCCCCAATATCCCCCATGTCCCCATGTACACCCATGTCCCCGTGTCCCCCCATGTCCCCCCATGTCCCCTGGGTCCCTATGTACCCCCACA